CCGGCCGTAAGCATCCTTACGGCCTGAAAAAAAAACACGACGACGACGACCACTACGACGACCACGACGACGACCACGACGACGACGACGACGACCACGACGACGACGACGACGACGACGACGCGACGGCGTCGACGACAACGACGACGACGACGACGACGACGACGACGACGACGGCGGTGACGGCGACGGACAACTGGTGCGTTTGGACCCCGGGAGGGATCTGGGGACCCATCTTTGGGCCCCTCCGAGGTCTCTGGGAAGGGTCCAAGAGGGCCCCTAGAAAGCTCCCAGAGGCCCCCAAGGGAGCTCCAAGAGGCCCCCAAGAGGGCTCAGGAGTACGTTATAAAACAAGCTGTTTTTATAAGCTGTCCTGGGGCCCTCTTGGGCCCGTCTTGGGGCGCCTCTGGGCCCCTCCGAGGGCCTTGGGAAGGGTCCTAGAGGGCCCCTAGAGGGCTCCCAGAGGCCCCCAGAGAGGGCTCCAAGAGGACCCGAAGAGGGCTCAGGAGTACGTTATAAAACAAGCTGTTTCTATAAGCTGTCCTGGAGCTCACTTGGGCCCGTGTTGGGGCGCCTGTGGGCCCCTCCGAGGGCCCTGGGTAGGGTCCAGTAGGCCCCTAGAGGGCTCCCAGAGGCCCCCAGGGGGGCTCCAAGAGGCCCCGAAGAGGGCCCAGGAGTACGTTATAAAACAATATGTTTTTTTTTTAAGCTGGCCTGGTGCCCTGTTGGGTTCGTCTTGGGGCGCCTTCGAGCCCCCCCCGAACCTTTTGGAAAGGGTCCAAGAGGGCCCCTAGAGGGCTCCCAGAGGCCCCCAATGGGGGTTCCGAGAGGCCCCCAAGAGGGCCCAGGAGTACGTTATAAAACAAGCTGTTTTTATAAGCTGCCCTGGTGCCCTCTTGGGCCTGTCTTGGAGCGCCTTTGGGCCCCTCCGAACCCCCCTGGGCAGGCTCCGAACGTCTTGGGCCTGTCTTGGGGCCGCCTTTGGGCCCGTCGGAAGGCTCTGGGAGCCCCCCGCCCTCCGTCGAGGCCCCCCGCGGCACGCGCGGCCCCGTGTGCAGCTGGGGCCGGAGCGTTGCCCCCTGCAAGGGTCCAGGAGGGCCTCTCTCGGGCCCTTCGCGGAAGCCCTCTTGGCGCATGTGGCAGCCTGGGGCAGTCTGGGTCAGTCTGGGTCAGTTGGGTCAGTTGGGTCAGTTGCTGGCCCAGTTGCTCCGCCCACCCGTTTCAGTTGCTCCGCCCGCCCCCCGGCCCCCTTGGCAGTCTGGGGCAGTCTGGGTCTGGGGCAGTCTGGGGCCTGTCTGGGGCAGTCTGGGGCAGTCTGGGGCAGTCTGAGGCAGTCTGGGGCAGTCTGGGGCAGTCTGGGCCAGTTGGGGCACTCTGGGGCAGCCTGGGGCAGTCTGGGGCAGTGTGGGGCAGTCTGGGGCAGTCTGGGTCAGTTGGGTCAGTTGGGTCAGTTGGGGGTCAGTTGGGTCAGTTGGGTCAGTTGCTGGCCCAGTTGCTCCGCCCACCCGTCTCAGTTGCTCCGCCCGCCCCCCGGCCCCCTTGGCAGTCTGGGGCGGTCTGGGGCAGTCTGGGGCAGTCTGGGGCCTGTCTGGGGCCAGTCTGGGGCAGTCTGGGGCAGTCTGAGGCAGTCTGGGGCAGTCTGGGGCAGTCTGGGCCAGTTGGGGCCCTCTGGGGCAGCCTGGGGCAGTCTGGGGCAGTGTGGGGCAGTCTGGGGCAGTCTGGGGCAGTCTGGGTCAGTTGGGTCAGTTGGGTCAGTTGCTGGCCCAGTTGCTCCGCCCACCCGTCTCCGTTGATCCGCCCGCCCCCGGCCCCCTTGGCAGTCTGGGGCAGTCTGGGACAGTCTGGGGCAGTCTGGGACAGTCTGGGGCAGTCTGGGGCAGTCTGGGGCACTCTGGGGCAGTCTGGGCCAGTCTGGGGCAGTCTGGGGCAGTCTGGGACAGTGGGGCAGTCGGGGCGGTCTGGGGCAGTGTGGGGCAGTCTGGGTCAGTTGGGTGAGTTGGGTCAGTTGGGTCAGTTGCTGGCCCAGTTGCTCCGCCCACCCGTCTCAGTTGCTCCGCCCGCCCCCCGGCCCCCTAGGCGCCACCGGGGGCGGTCTCAGTTGCAATTGGGGTGGTTTCAGTTGCTCCGCCAATTGTAGCACCCGAACAGGCCCCAGCTCCCCAAGAGGCCCAACAAAAGACCCAAGAAACGCCAACACAGCTCCCAAGAAGGGTCGAAACTGCGTCCGAACCAGCACCTTGCGGGCCTCTGGGGTCCCCTGGATCAGGACGGCGACAGTCAGATTATATATATATATATAATATATATATATATATATATATATAATATATATGTATATATACAGATGTCAAGAAAGCCTGAAGAAGCCCCGAAGACGCCCAAGAGCGCCCCAAGAGGGCCCGTGAGGACCCCGAGAGGGCCTTGAAGAGGCACACATCGGCCCATTTCCTTCGTAAAACGTAAATATTCGGCTGACTCGGTGGCTTCGTCTTCACAGTACCCCAGACGCCCGCGGAGCCCCAAGACAGACCCAAAGGGCCCCAGACGCCCCAAAAGGGTCGTCCTGTGGGGCTCAGGGACCCCCCCGAGACGGCCCAAGAGGCCCAAAGCCGGCCCAGGAGGCCCCCAAGACGGCCTCAGGGAGGCCCAAGAGGGCCCCGTTTGAAATCATGTTCCCGGAAGCCTCTCCGGAAATATGATTTCTGGGTTCCGAGGACGCCCACGAGGCCCACAAGACATCCTCAGCGAGGCCCAAGAGGGCCCGAGATGGCTTGAAGATGGCCGAAGAGGGCCCCAAGAGGGCCTTCAAGAGGCAAGCATCGGCGCATTTCCTTGGTAAAACGTACATTTTCAGCATACTCGCTGGCTTCGTCTTCACAGTGCCCCACACGCCCCCGAGGAGCCCCAAGACAGCCCCAGAGAGACCCAAGAGGGCCCCAGACGTTCCAGAAGGGTCGTCCTGTGGGGCTCACGGAACCCCCCAAGACGGCCCAAGAGGCCCCGAAGCCGGCCCAGGAGGCCCCAAGACGGCTTCAGGGAGGCCCAAGAGGGCCCCGTTCGAAATCATGTTCCCGGAAGCCTCTCCGGGAACATGATTTTCGGGTTCCCAGGACGCCCAAGAGGCCCACATGACAGCCTCACTCAGCGAGGCCCAAGAGGGCCCGAGATGGCTTGAAGATGGCCGAAGAGGGCCCCAAGAGGGCCTTCAGTTGGCCCCCACTCTAAGACGGCCGAAAGGCCTCCAAGAGGGCCCCAAGACGGCCCACGAGGGCCCCAAGACGGCACCCGCGGCGCCCAAGACGGACCCAGAGGGCCCCAAGAGAGCCCCAAGAGAGCTCCAAGAAGGGGAACGCGAACCCAACAGCAAAGCTTTCCGCCCTAAGAGGCTCACAGGAGACCCTAAGAGTCCCCAAGTGGTCCGACGAGGCCCCCCAAAGCCCCCCACCAGGCCCCAAAAGGCTCACGGGAGACGTACACGGGGCCCCAAAATAGCCGAACAGTGCTCTCGATGCATCAAAATTGCTTCAAGGAGGCCCCGGGAGGCTTCCGGATTGCCCCAATGTGGCCCCAAGCCGGACCTCCACGCAGCCAAGACGGCCAATTGACTGCTTCAGACTGCAGAACATTACTTTCCGACTGCCCAGAGAACCCTGACGATGCCCCCAGGGGACCCCGAGAAGCCCCAAGATGCCCCCCCGAGAAGCACCCAAGATGTGCCTCCAACAGCCAATTGAGGAAGCACGGAGAACCCCCCAGAAGCCCTTCAGATGCCCCCACGAAGACCCAAGAGGTTTTCAAGAGGCCCTCAGGAGGCACGACCATGTCACGCGCCTGTGCTCGATAGCGCTGTCCAAGATCTTCTAGCGCGCCCCCGGCCTGGGCTAGAACCTGAGCGCGTGCGAAGTGCGCGCGATGGTTCTAGTGTGTGTACATATATATATATATATATATATATATATATATATATATATATATGGTCGGTCCCCCCAGCGACCCCCCAGAGCGCTCCAAGCCCAAGCACGAAGCCGCGGTGATCGTTGCTGTCCTCCTTTTGCCCTTTCCAATGTCTCGTTTCCCCTTTTTCTTGTCCTTCCAGTTTCCAATTGTTTGTTTCCTTCCTCTTTCTCCATTCCCTTTTCCTCCTCCTTGTTGCAAAGCAAAAGGCAAATTATACACAGTGGTTGGCGCCCTCGGTGCAACGAAACATTTTTTTTTTTTTTTTTTTTTTTGGTCTGGGAAGCAACGAATCACTTTTTTGTTTTTGGTTTTGGAGGCTGGAATGCTCCCCGCGGCCTCCCCCTCGGCACCTCCCCCCTCCTTCTTTAGGCCCTCAAACACCAACAACAAACATACACAGTGTTTGGCGCCCTCGGTGCAACGAAACACTGTGTAGCGTTGTTTTTGTTGTTTTTTTTTTTGCTTGGGAAGCAACGAAACACTGTTTTTTTAATGTGCATTGTTGTTTTGGTTTTGAAGGCTCCCCATAGGGAGGGGGGAGGTGCCCAGGGGGAGGCCGCGGGGGGGCAGCATCCCAGCCTCCAAAACGAAACAAAAATCAAAACTAGAAAAACAGTGCTTCGTTGCTTCCCAAACAAAAAAGAAACAAACAAAACAAAACAACAACTCACAATGTTTCGTTGCACCGAGGGCGCCGAACAGTGTGTATTCTTCGTTTCTGATTTTGCAACAAGGAGGAGGACTGGACAAAAGGGGGAGGAGGGAAAAGGGCTCACATGTCGGATCGGATCCGATAGGGGGCAAGTCTCGTCTGATCCGTGGGCCGACTGAAACCTGACTGCTCCTGCGAACGTGCATCGATGCGGGCCAACGCACAGTCGCCGGCCTGCCTTGGACGCTCGATCCCTGCTCATTCAAGCAACGGAGAACGAGGGGAAGGGGGAGGAATATGGGGAACTGGAGAAGGAGAGGGAGGATGACAAGGAGATGAGCACATAACTGCTCCACTCGGAAATCGGCAAGCGCATGCGCTCGGAATCGTTTCATTCGTCCCTGTGCCAGTGCAGCCACTGGAACGAGCGGATCTTGTTGGACCCCAAGTGTTTACGCAGCTCACGGCAGACGTGGTCGATGATCTCGGTACCCGCTTTAACCCAAATTCGCTTGGTCTTGTTGGGCATGTCGTCATCGCGAACGTCGTGGTAAATCTTCTTGGTGTAAGCAGGCTTGACCCACTTCCACTTACCCTGGACCTTCACGCGTTTCCTGGCGTGCACCACCCAATCATGCCTGACCCCATCGAGTTTCATCTTATAAGTCCTCGCGCGATCCGTATGGAGTATGGCGTTGCGCTTGTGGACCCACTTCTTTCGCCAGGGGTGCCCAATCACGCTTGCGGATCGGGCAGGGGCCTGGCGCCCGCTTCTTGGTCTTCGCTGGGTCGAGCCTGAACAGGACGAGGGGCTTCGCATCGCCGCGCTGGATAATGCCTCACCGCTGCTCCCAGATGACAGTCTTCTGCGCCCGAGGGCCAGCGTCGGGGTCTTCTCCTTTCGCGAGATCCACCGCGTCAGCTTCAACGTCAGCCCACCTCGAGCAGTCCTCGCCGAATTTGATGTCCTTCTCGTGCGGGGCCACGTTCTTAGCGCGCACCTCGTGCAAGAACTCGTAGATGCCCTCTGTCAGCTTGTGGTTCTTCTTCAGGAGAAGACGCACGGAAGTCTGCGAGCATTTTGCAATGGGGCAGGAGAGCACCGAAGCTTGGTCTGCCAAGCTCGCATGCGATTCCCCCGCGCCGCACTTGAAGATGGGGTGGAAAGCGTGCGGGAGGACTGTGCGCTTGCACTCCTTGTCGTTGCAGCGGTATGCCCACCCTCCATTCGAATCGTCGTAGTGCTTCAAGGGGCCCAGGGGGCCGCCGCCGCAATAGGGCCACGTGATGCCCTTCCAGTCAGGCAAGATATTGTCACGGGTCAGCTTGTCGATGATGCTCTTCGCAGGCCTGTTCACGAAATCATGCAGGGACCTCGTCCACGTTGCCTGGGCGTCGCGCATCTTCTTGGTCGGCGTGCCGTGGAGCACATACGGCGCGTTCTTGGGCGCGCTTGGCTTGTTGGCGGCGGCTGGCTTCTTCAAAATGGAGGGGGCGGCAGCTGGCTTCTTCTTGGCGGGTCGCGATTGCGAGGCCGCGCGGGCCTTGCCCCTCTTGGCAGCTGGCCAAGCCTTCCCCATTGCAACCCGCGTCGGTGAGCGATGCGCTGGGGCGATCAACCAGCGGGCTCAAGGCCGAAACGTCCATGGTCAACGACGCAAGCGCCCGCGCCTGCTGGCCCCGCGCAAGGATCCCAACGCTGCGCGGCAAAACCGCTGCTGCTGCGGCGGCGGGCGGATGCGACTTCCGCGCCAACCGAGAGCGATGCGTGCCATCACGGGGACACATTATAAGCGCAAGTAACAATCAATATGGCGTGCCCCCCCGCGCGCAGACCCCGCCCGACTAACGCGCGCCGGCGCGCCCGCGCCGCGCGCGGGACGAGGGCGCCTCAAAGTTCAATGCGCCGCGGCGCGCCTGGGCCAGAGCTGGACGCGGCTCCGCCTGCAACCTCAGCCGCGAAGTCGTCGATCAAGCGGTCGAACTTGGCCTTCTCCGTCTCCCTGAGGCCTCGATGTCAGCGCGGGGCCTCTTCGGGTACGGCGCGGTCAAATCGAGGCGCGCGCTGCCGCCCCCCAGCTGGCGCTTCCAGACGCCTGGCTCCGTCTTCACCGCGACGGTCGGGGAGGTGGCTGGGGCCTGATCGGACATGCCGCCGCCGTGGCCGAAGACGTCCTCCCCCTTCCCCCCCTCATCCTGCTCCATGATGCTCGCGCCGAACTCCCCCCCGTCGGGGTTGGGCGGGGCCGCAGGCTGCGCTGGCTCATCGGCGGCAGACATCCGAGTCATCACTACATTGGAAGCATGTATTGGAATATGTGCTGATGGTCGGACCCACCGCTACACGACCAGCCACAGCTCAAATTGTTAACGGTGGATTGGAAGTCTCATTGCAGAGCAGACGCGAGACCAAGGCTGGCGACCTTGCAGAAAACGAGCTCTCAGCAAGGAGGTCCAAAACAACATCTGGAACATGAAGAGAGAAAATCGTCGATCTGCAATTGGCAATGTATTCTTCGTTTGTTATGTATGAAGTTTCTTTGGGAGCCCTCCCGGGGCTCTCGGGCGTCTCCAAAAGGGCTTGAGCGAGCTCGAGGGGGGCCCCCAAAAAGCCGCAGGGACAGAGGAGGTCCACTCCGACAGGCTTTTCCAGGCTCCCCGTTGGGGCCGTCCGCGACGAGCTGCGGGGGTCCCAAGAGAGCGTTTGAATGTCACAGAATCGGCGCAATATGTAGAAGGCTTCATCAGGCAGTTCAAATGTCCCAGAGTCCGTGCAAGACGGCCTCAGCAAGCTTCGAAAAGACCCCTGAAAAGGGCCCAGAGATGTTCCAAAACATATTTGCGATTGCAACACCAATTTGGCAAGCGAGGTGCTATCCACGGTGCTTGGCCTCTACGGCCTCTCCTTGTGTTTTGGGGCCGTTCGGGGTTTTCTTGGGACTGCGATTTGGCGGCCTCGTCCTGAAGCGAGCCAGCAGAGAACCAGAAACAGGTATCTTCATATCCGCCACGTGAAAACTGCCAGCTTCCAAGCTGATGGGACGGGGACTCCACCGTGCAGCAAACGGCGATGGAGGAAGAGGACGGGCAGGGAGGGAGGGGAGGTGGTGGGGAAGGAGGAAGGGGCGGAAGAGGAGGAGGAGGAGGAGGAGGAGGAGAAGAAGAAGAAACCGCGCAAGCCTAGCCATGCAAATGCCAATCAAAACGCAACAGCCTGAGCGGTTCAATGTTTCTCTCAGTACTTGGTTCCTTGCGTGGCCACTGCAAACAGAAATCCAAGACCAGAGCAGAGAAGAGGGGCTGAGAGCGGAAAGAAGAAGGAGGGCCTCGTGAGAGGTTCAAGGGGACCTGGGTCCCGGGTCCCGGGTCCCGGGACAGGGGATTGATGACTTGGGGCCCGCGGCCCAGGACCTGGGACCCAGGACCCGGGACCCCGATCGAAGTTGGGCTCCGTTCTCAATCCAGATCCTCGGGAAGGTTCTTGGGTCTCTCTCGGGGTGTCTCGAAGGCTTCTTGGGCCGTCTTGGGGCCATCTTGGACGTCTTGGAGCGATCATTCGTCGAATTGGGGATCCCCTTGGACCGTCTTCGGGGCCTCTTGGGGCCCTCTTGGCCCATCTTGGGGCCCTCCAAACCCGAACATTTCATGCGGAAAGACGCTCTGGGCATGCGCCACGCCGCGGAAGATTCAAGAATTCGAGGTCTGGGTCCTTGAAATATCTTCGGGATCGAGGACTGAGACTTAAAGGATTGGGCAAAGAACCTGAGGACACGCCCACTTCGTGTACAGCGGCACGGTGGCGGATATATGCGCTGTTGTTGTGACAGCGATCGCCGCTATCATTACTATCTACCCCGCCTGTGCGTATTTGGTTTGTCCGAAACGGGGCGACTAGAAATCAACATCCCGATCGAGGAGGCGTCCCAACTCCGCGTGTTAGCGTCGTCACAACATCCAGAGTCAGTGCAGGTCGATTGTTGTAGGTGAGACGCCAAGCTGAGACGACGTGTGCAGGTTGGAATAATGGTGTCGGACCATTGGTGCCAGGGGTATGCTTATTTGAGTTTTGACCTTTGGGACCCCCTGCGTATTTCTGGAGACTTGCGAGAGGGAGGGACACGGAAAGGGTGTGGGTGATGTTTTGAGTGTTGTTCTTGTTTTGGTTGTTTGATTGTTGTTGATTTGATTGTTGTTAGTGTTGTTCGTGATGTTGTTGTTGCTGTTGTTGCTGTTGTTGCTGTTGTTGGTGGTGGTGTTCGTTTTCTTGTTGTTGTTGTTAGTGGTTGCGCTGTTGTTGTTGTTGCTGTTGTTGTTGCTGTGACTGTTGCTGTTGTTGTTGTTGCTGTTGTTGTTGCTGTTGTTGTTGCTGTTGTTGTTGTTTTTGTTGGTGGTGTTGTTGGTGTTGCTGTGGTTGTTGTTGCTGCTACTGTTGCTGAATTCTGTCAAGTTCACATGCGTGGATGTTTGTCCCCCTCACCTTCTCCGCCGCCGTCTTTTGAAAAAGTGCCGAGCCGCAAAAGCGTGTAAACGGTCTTCGCTGTGCGTGAACTGCGAACTTAAATCAGGACCTCGCCAGGCCACCCCCCTCCCCTCTGCGCAAGTGAACTTGCCAGGGTCCAACAAGCCGACGGCGGCGTCCTGGCTCCCGAGACCAGGCCCCTGCGGCGCTGCCTGGAGTGCCGGGCCTGCCGCTGGGATGCCCGCCGATGATGGGCCAGGGAGGCGAAGGCGGGCGCCCTCGGCACCCGCGTAGAAGTCGTCGTCGTCGCTGCCGCCCCTGGTCCCACTTCCGCGGCGTCTCTCCACTCGAGCCACCCGTGCACGCGCAGTGATAGCTGCCGAGCGGTCCGTCGCAATCCCGACCGCGCCGAGTCCGTCGGCGCTGCGACCAAATCGCCATCCCTCTAAGGGGCAGTCGGCGGCGCGCAGCAGGGGAGTGGGCTCCGAGGCCTGGGCGGCTGCCCCGAGGAGGAGGAGGAGGCACCCAGAGACCGCGCCCCCTCCAGCGAGGCCTCCCTGGGAAGGTCCCCCTGGGTTGCTCGTGTCGTTGTGGCCCGTTCCCTCTCGGAAGAGCGGCCGCCCCCCGCCGCACCCCCGTGGTCTCTCCGGGGGGCGGAGTTTGTGTCGTGTCCACCGCTCCGGGGGGGCGATCTCCCAGAGCAGCGGGAGGCAGCGCAGCGGGTATGGACATTTTCGCCCCCCCCCCCCACCCCCGCCCCCCCACACCCTCCAGGGCCCAAGAATGTCCATGTCTACTGCCTCCTGGGGGGAGCTGAGGGCATCGGTTCCGCTGGCGGTGGGTTTGTACATGCTCCAGCGCAGTGCTCCCTGCGCGCCGCGAAGGCGGCACGATGGGGGCTCGGGGACCTTGGAGACGCCTCTCTGCAGGCGGCCCGCGCAGCGCTGCCTGGGAGACGCCGTCGCCGATGCCGCAGGGGCGGCGCCAGAGCTTGGAGGCCCTCGCCGCCGTCGGGCGTCGTCGCGGTCGTCGCCGAGTGTGTTCGACCGAGGGTCGGGTGTCGTGCTGCGCGGTCTTGGCTTCTTGTGGCGTCCTGAGGCTTCAGGAGGCCTCTTGAGGCTCCTTGAGCTGAATGTGCCTCGGGTCTCGATGTTCGAGGATTGAGGATCGACGTATTTTCGGGGACCTCTGGAAGTTTCCAGAGAGTCAAGCCAATGGGTGGAGAATCAGAGCTTTCAAAGCTTGTTTTCTAGACCTGCTGTGCTCTGAGAGATGGGAGGGGCGTGTGGCAGGTGCCAGGCAACAACGGGGGCAAGGGCCTCCACGAGGCGCCGACGATCAAGGTCAGCGAGGATGCGGAGGATTTGTTGCTGCGACGTGATCCATTCTCCACTTCGTTGCGTATCGTCACCAGTGACTCCAGCATGCGAAAGAGGGAAATTGCGATCCCCCATTGCAGGGCCCTTTCCGATCCGATGGATGTCCGATTCGACATCGATTCTGGCCGGCTCGATCCAATTCGATTCCGATTTTCCGATGTTTGCATGGCGTTGTTGTTCATCTTGGCGTGGCAGATTTGACTTGACTTCGACTCCGTGCCGATGCTGCTCGATCCGCCGCATATTCCCATTCGATCCGATTTTCACATTTGATGCTGACTGGTCCTACGTTACCGGAGATGCAACATCAGACGCGTTGAGAAAAGGAACAGGCTTCGCTCCGGAGGTGCTTAGGTCTCGGGGCCTGGTCCCTTGTCTGAACCAGGGGTTGTCGTGATGCGTCGAGGCTCACTGCAGCCAGAAACTCTAATTCGCAGCTCCCTCTGCACACGATGTCCTCGCAGCTGACCACGAAGGCCGAAATGCTTTATGCTGTCCAGACACCGTGCCCACATACTTTGACATGTGGGGCGCTCTAGACAAGGGCATCGCCTCGATGGGATCGAGAAGTGGTTATCTTGTTTTGGGCGGAAGGCTGCCGGAATGCTGCGGAAGTTAAACGAGGACGCCTCCGCCACCGGAAGCTAGGCGGAAGGCGGCGGAAGCAAAACCAGCCACCTTCTGAGATGGCCGTAGTTTTTTTGGTTCAGGGTTCCGGAGTCGGCCAAGTCGTGCCCGCCTG